AACTGGTCACCTAAATGACTTAGGTAGCAATAATCCAGGAGAAACTGTCGAGTGTGATGAGAGAGATTTACTGAAGCAAAGATTACAAATCCAACGACTTTAATCAAATACGATATTTTTATCAGTTTTATTGATCCAGGAACTGTTTTCGATTTTGAAAATTCATAAAGGTTACTGAAATATCTTTCATGACATTCCATTGACTTCTTTGGAACTAAAGTATCAAAAAGTATTTGAAGTTTGAAATTGTTTACAAACATTTTGTTTACAAAATTGTTTTCAAGCTGACAAAAATTTAGTTTAAAAATAAAAACAATAAACTTGTTTGTCAAGCAGCATAACTTTGAACTTGCCTGAACCAAATTAAACTCATTACTCTGAAAAAGATCATTAATTATTAACTTGTAGTTCATTATTTGATTCAAGGTAACATAAATGTAATTACAACATAAATTGATTTACTTTACACTAGAAAAAATGAAATGTAATTCATACAAAAGTAGTTTCAGAAACATGATACAGAGTATCGGATTTTATCAGCTAACCGGAAACGCCTTCTCAAATAGTTTAGTCCCTGAGCTCACTGGTTTCAAGTTTGCAAACGAGTATCAGTTACATGCTAAAATGTTATAAATTTTCAGATTTTTTTTCTGTTCAAGCCTGTTGTGTCTCAAAACGTCCCATAAAATGTGATCAAAATTAAAATGGCTTGTTTTAAATTATTAGTAAAACTTTTAACGCTGTTACTAGGTAATTTCCTCCTGTTTCATCAGAGTGTGAACTGCAATGAATATGACGATATTGGCATATACCCGCAGATCAAGCACTCACTGAAGAAGCCCTATTCATATGAATGGGAAAGTACGACAATCATCAACAATGTCAACTGGGAGTTGGTTGGCAATGCACTCGCACACCGAAACTACATTCGCCTCACTGAAGACAGGTCCAACCAAGTTGGTGGTGTTTGGAATACTTTGGTAAGTACTCTTTATTGTAAATATTATTAAAAAGTAACTAACTTGTTTGCCTAGCCCATTAAATTTTACAACTGGGAAGTGCAAATAGAATTCAACATCTCTGGCAGTGGTCGAGTGTACGGTGACGGAATGGCCTTCTGGTACGTCCAGCAGCCACTACACCAAGGTATGCGCATGAGATGAAAGTTTGATTGATTATCAACTAATTAATAAAAATAACCTCAATCAAATTGGCAGACTACTACCTAGGGCACGTCTACGGCAACTCTGACTACTTCACCGGACTGGGCATTTTTCTGGACACGTACCCTAACAAATTTCACGGCTACCACCAGTACCCCTTCATCTCGGCGCTGGCCAACAATGGCTCGCACAATGCCTACAGCAACGGCTACGGAAACAGTAGATACTACGGAAACGCGGAAAACCCGGAGAACCAGGTGTCGGAGCTGTCGGGCTGCCACGCGGCCATTCGCAATGCCGTCCACGGCCGAGCCTCCATCTCCATTCAGTACTACGAGGGACTGCTGAAGGTGCGCACCGACGTGGAGCAGAGGAACCGGTGGACGCTGTGCTTCGCCAGTCGTATCCACCTGCCCGCCGGCTACTACATCGGCCTGACCGCCTCCACCAACTACCTCAGCGACAACCACGACATTCTCGAGCTGAGGACCTATCGACTGGACTACCCGCCGCCGACGACCAGGGATGACAAGACGGTGGTCATTGTCATGCCCAGAGGCGGTGCCGGCCCTGGTTGCTGGTCGCTTTCAGTCAGTGTGGCAGTGTTGTGCGTCGCCGCGCTCAAGCTACTGGCATTCTAGATCATGCATTCTTAATTAGTTTTTGTATCAAATTGATATTTATTATTAAATCTCTCAAAATAATGTGTGGCGTGTTACAACTCAAATATGGTGGCAGAGTTTTGCAGCGTGTTGCAGCGGATTGCTGTTGAACTGCTGGTGCTGCTTGTAAAATGCTGAAACTGCTGCACTAATTAGTGGAATAAAAGAACGAATTTAAGTAAAAGAGAAAAGAGGATAGAAGAGTCAGGGCATGTCAGGGAGTGACAAAAGTGTAGGTTACAATGAATAAGTGAGCATGCCATCTAATAGTGACTCAAACATAAGTAAGAGAATAAGTAATAAGTTATAGAGAATAAATCTGCCACAAAGTTTTGATGAACAAATTAAAAGCGAGTTGTTGACTGTTGAAATGGATTGACAGGATAGGTAATGTGTACGATCTAAAATGGAAACAAAAATGTATTTTAAAAAAGTGATCAATATATAATTTTTTACATATTTACCCCACTCTTTCGCTTGCGGATGATTAGACGGACAATAGCAAACACCAGCAAAGCAACCACACAAACAACAAGTATGATCACGACAACAATGAACATAGTCAAAGATTTTGGGCTGTTCTTCTTCAGAATGATTTTGCTCAAGTCCTCATTAGTGTAACATGGGTCGACGCTGGTTTCGTTAAAGAAGGGCACTGTGTGGCGGTAGAGCGAGGCATCTTCATCCTTGAATACAAAGTACACCGTCACTTGGCCTTCATCGGCGGTACCTTCCTGCATCAATACATTAGCGCACTGTTTGAAAACGGTCAGATTCATTGAATGATACATCAGCGAAGAAACATCAGTAAGCAGGCAATTTGCTGCAATGTGGCCAGTGGTATTTGCAAATGGGCTCACGTGAGGACGAAGCATTTGGTTGGTGAAGTTTCCAGTGCTTTCTACCAGTGAGGTGACATTCTGGGGCACAAGAGGACAGTAGAACACGCGATGAAAGAAAGCCGGATTCACAAGCTTACTCCAGTGTAGGTGTTCTTCAGTTACACAAGGGGAGATAACGTTCTGATCGAAAGTAATGTCCGTCAAACTAAAGTAGAGCATTTCCTGTTGCTTGGGCAGGAGAAAGTAGGCCTTGGACACCACCACCAAACCTGAGGACGGGTCATCTTTCACGGCTAGTAGGACGTTAGTGCACTCCTTGAGAAGGTCGATAAAGTGCTTCTGGTGATAGTCGATACCGGTTTCGCCTTCAACGTTGACTTGGATTGCTGCAATGTGGCTGGAGTTTCGCTGCGTGTAATCACCAAAGTAGGGTCGTGTGATGTTTCCATCAATAGCCGACTGCATGTTCGAGGTCATGGACAGTGCCTCATTCAGCTCGATGGTCGTGAAGGAGAGCTGTGACGGCGTAAAAAGATCACTTTGCTTCGCTTGGAGCAACAACAAAGCGAAGATTAGTACTGGAAGCATTGTCGCAGAGAAGATTGAAGATCGCATTCAAGAACAAAAATCAACTGTTTTCCTTTTATCTCAGTATGCGTTTTGAACACTGCTTTTATAGCGATGGCGAATGGCTAAAACGCCACATATAAAATGTCAAATGACTCACAATTTTTAATTTGTTGCAATATTAATTTTTGTTGGCATTTCTAAAAATGCAATTAACAAAATGACATTTGGCTTTCAATCCTGCTGCCAGTTTAGTTGCTGGGGAAGGATAACAGAGTTTTGGCTTTGGCTCGTTCAATTTGCCTGAACAAAAAAGAATAAAAAATTAGTTGACCTTGGAAATAGTTAACATGAGGAAGGACATTACTTTTTGTCAATGCTGTTTAGGACACTCTTCAGCGTTTTGCAGCTTTTAATCTGATGGTGCAGTGCCTCCAGCTCAGCAGCGAAGCGGTCATCGCCGTCCTTGTTCAGCTGAACGTTCTTGAGGAATCGGTGGATGATGAAGCTCATCCACTCCAGGTTGGTGCGCGGCATCCACTTGGCCCAGTTGCCGCAGGCACTGTAGTACATGCCCACGTAGATTTTGTCCTGGTCACTCTGCACCTTATTCGGGTTCTTGGCGTCTCGCGCCAGGGTGGCCAGTCGGTCGGTGAGATTGGTGTAGTAGTGGTGGGAGCCGATGCGCATCCGAGCAAAGGTGTTGTCGATGATGAAGGCACGCTTCCCCTCGGTGTCCACTTTGTACTCCCTCGAGGCGACCACAAAGTGCACGGTGGGGTTCTTTGTGCTGCGCACCATAATGTTGCCCAGGTGTAGATCACGGTGCTCGTACTCGAAGGTGGCCTCGGCGGCGGCCAGACTTAGCAGAACCTGGTACACCACACTGATGATCTGCTTTATGGTTAGCTTTTTGTAGCACGATCGCAGCGATTCGCCACAGTGCTCCATGCAAATGGAGGTAAATTCTAAAGGGAAAACAATTAATGGTAATTAGGTCGACTTTTACAGCCAAACAATGTACCTTGAAGGCCAACGTTGATTGGTCCTTTATCAAGTGGAACCATCTCATTGACCAGACTAGATTTGAACAGCTTTGGAAAGCCGTGCACGCGATACTCAAAGCCCTGGTAGTTGCAAAGGGTGGCGTGCAAGTTGGAGAGATTGGTTGAGATTACCAGCTCTTGAAATACGTTGTGGTAGTGCTCCGCAAGAAGATCTTTGACCTCGCCACATTCTGTGACCAAACGCTCTAAAAGGTACAATGTTATGTTAGATTTACACATAAACAATCAGCAAAGTCCACGAACTGTTCTTTCTGGTCTTCATTTTGATCATCTTAAAGACATAATCTTTGCCCTTGGAGCTTCCATCATGCTGGTGAGCAAGTAGAACCACAGAGTACGATCCCTTATCAAGGTGCATAAAACGAGGAAAAGCAACTGGGGGAAAGGATTGAGTGAAGGGCTGAATTCGTTCCTGTCCGCATATCTGAAGCACGTTTTTCCTGAAGAGAAAAACAAATGATTAAAATAAAAGTCAGTCAAAATGTTTCAAAATGCGCACCGATACAATTCGTCGTCAAGATGAAGTCGACCCATAGTGGTACTCCGAATTCTTGAGTAACAATATGCCGACTTGGCCAACTGCACTAAAATGTACACGTAAACTTGAAGTTATGGCTTTTTAGAATTGACGGTTTTAAAATTCTAACATTTGCATGATTTTGCCAATAAAACGACTAACATTTGTCAGCTTAGCTTCATTTTGCGCTTGCACTTTGCTCTGTTATTTTATTTGTACCAAGCATGGATTTGTTTGCGAACGCAATGTTGGAAAATGAAGAGGAGCACTCTTTTGCCGATGACCTAACTGAAAACTCTGGTTTGGATGAAAGCGAAACTGAGATAAAGCTCAGCCAGAGCAAAAAAACTGATTTGTCAAACAGTCAAGAGCAAATGTTCTCAAACAGCGATAACGGTTTGTATTTTGTTGCTTTGTTGTTACAGTATTCATCAAATTCATCATTGTTTACAGAATCACAGTTTGATGAAAGTGACAGCGAGGAAATCGTTTTCCGTTCATCGTTGGTTGAAAGTTCAAGTTCACTCTCTGAAAGTTTTGTAGAAAATATGATCCTATTGGAAAAAAATGCTCCCACTACTGAACTTGATATCAGCAAATCAAGTAGTCTTCTTGAGGAGGAGAACAACTCGTTGCGCCTCAATGATGAAATTGGGCCTTTGCAGGAGGAGTTTAAAGAGAAGCTTTCGCTGAAAGAATCTTCTTCTGAGGAAATTAATAAGTACGTGGCTCAAGGTAAACACATCACAGTTATCTTGTTGCAATTTTGCTGACAAAGCTTTTACAATTTTTCGTAGAAAACATTGACAACAATTCACCAAAGGAGAATGGAAATACAGTTGAAACAGCCGAGTTCTCGCCAGTTGTTCAGCCGAACTGCATTTCCGAGTACGATTTCTTCCTGAAAAACATGGGCACTGAAATGCGTGAAGAGGACCCTGATGATTACGACTTTGTAGAGAAGATTCAGGCTGAGCAGACTTTTGAGCCTCTTCAGGGAATTGAGCCAAGCTCCTGGGCTCGTCGTTTCAAGCAGCAGCGAAGCCCTCTGCTGCCTACTCCAGCAGGCTCTAATCAGGCCAATTTCAGCTCGCGCCCACCAGGTCAGTTTGTGCCGCCGATCCAGGGCGCTCATGGACAGGGCACTGTTCGCCCATTGAGTGTTCAACAGCAGCAGTGGGTTGACTACTGGCAGATGGCCTTCCTGGACTTTTGGAGCAACTACAATGTGGGCCGTACTACGGTGGGCGGCGGCAGTAGTGCCTTTCCGGAGCCGCCGCAATTCCATCAGCAGCAACAGCAGCAGCTGCATCAGCAAGTGCCAGTTGGACCGAGTTCCAGCATCAAGAGCTACCAACCGCAGCAGCAGTCACAGTGGAACGGTGACTACCAACACGGCAATGCTAACAGTGCTGTGCCGATGTCTCGTGACCAGAACAGTGCTTACGAGTTTTACGGCTCTACCGCCTACAACAACGAGGCTGCTCACTCTGCTCGCAACCAGTACCAGCTGCAGCAGCAGCACCACCACCACCAGCCTCAGTTTAACAGCAATAACTACTCGACCCGTGGCAGCATTCACACCGGTCAGATGAAAACTGCTGGCAACAACATCACTGCTGGACGCTCCAACAACAACAACACTGGCAGCTACAAAGGACGTGTCTTCTTCAACCACGGCAATGGAAACGGTGCTGGTGGTGGAGGTGGGCGAAATGGAGGCGGCGGCAATCAGTGGAGCCAGCACAGCGAGAAAGGAGGAGATGCAAGTGGAAAGCATGCGCCCACTTTCTTTGAGCAGGAAGCACTGCTTGAGCAGAAGAACGCCTCCACCAAAGGTGGTGGTGATGACTCTGTTGCCGCCGCCGATGATGGCTGGTACGAGTTTGACTCGAGTGAGGACCTTCGTCCGTCACGTGGCCACTTTGCCAGCGATGCTCGCGGAGCTGGAGGTCACCAGCGTGGCAATGAAGGCGGCTACGCCTTCAACAAAAGCGGTGTCCCTCATCGTGGTGGCAGTGGCCGAGGTGGTCGAGGCGGCGGCGGAGGCTATGGGGGACGCCCACCAATGGCNGAAGGCGGCTACGCCTCCAACAAAAGCGGTGTCCCTCATCGTGGTGGCAGTGGCCGAGGTGGTCGAGGCGGCGGCGGCGGCTATGGGGGACGCCCACCAATGGCTGCCAATAACCACTTCAACAACAAAAACAGCAAGAACTTTTACTGAATCTTGCACACAGGTTTTGCTGCATTTTGAGTAGCAACATTTGCANTGCTCGCGGAGCTGGAGGTCACCAGCGTGGCAATGAAGGCGGCTACGCCTCCAACAAAAGCGGTGTCCCTCATCGTGGTGGCAGTGGCCGAGGTGGTCGAGGCGGCGGCGGCGGCTATGGGGGACGCCCACCAATGGTTGCCAATAACCACTTCAACAACAAAAACAGCAAGAACTTTTACTGAATCTTGCACACAGGTTTTGCTGCATTTTGAGTAGCAACATTTGCAATTTTACTTTTTAGCAGCCTTGCTTCTTTTTTCAACCTCTATTTTTCACTCTTTTTACACAGGTGACTTTTTGTAATTTATAAGCTGTCTACTCTTTTGACATTTTTCAAATCTTTTTAAACTCTTTGAAAGCTATTGTAAGCTATTGTAGATTTATTGCAGCAGTTATAGCTGGTGAAAAAAGGTAGTAGTGTCATCGTCATCAGTTGATGAGAAAGAAGGTGTCCACTGCAGCTGTGCAGGTTGCCTAAATAATGCGACAGCATTCATTCTTTTCTTCAACTGGCTCCTGCTCCTGCTCAAAGTTGACCGGCTGTCCGGCACGCTCCTTGGCGACAATCTCCTTGAGCACTGTCGGTGCATCGTCGGGAACTCCCGGAACCTCTTGTACCACCTTTTTCTTCTTCTTCTTTGAGGATGTTTTACGCGCCTTTTCGCTTTCCACCTTTTGAGCCTTTGGAACTGCAGTGTACCTAGATTTAAGAGTGTTTTGCCACACGTTAAGAAGGAAATTGAAAATAAGAATGACAGCATAAAAGCGATACGCACATATGGTCATAGTCTTCAGGCGCCAAAAGCGCAGTCGGGCTGAATGACGGAAAAAATAGTGGCTAAAGTTAGTAACAATAATCAAAATAATTTAGCGTACTTACGCGTCAGATGGAATTGCCATAGAGTTGCTGGCATCATTTCCATCATTCTTAGCCGTTCGACTTTTCATTTTTGACAAGCTCTTTGGAGCACCCTTAAAGCTAAACAAAGTATTAAACAGTGGAAGAAAAATACAACAGCGTCTTACAGATGCAAGTAGTCGTCCGGGCCAATGAGTGATGTTTCGTCTCCTTTTTGCACTTCTTTGGCTTCCTTTTGCGCCNGCCGTTCGACTTTTCATTTTTGACAAGCTCTTTGGAGCACCCTTAAAGCTAAACAAAGTATTAAACAGTGGAAGAAAAATACAACAGCGTCTTACAGATGCAAGTAGTCGTCCGGGCCAATGAGTGATGTTTCGTCTCCTTTTTGCACTTCTTTGGCTTCCTTTTGCGCCTCTTTGGCTCCCTTTTGCGCTTCTTTGGCTCCTTTGGTCACTTTGGTTTTCACATTCTTGCCACGAACGCTGGTGCTGGTCTTTATTCTTGTTGTCTTGCACTTTCCCTTCAGAGTTAGGGATTTGCCGAGGTTACGCTTCTTTGTTTGACTGGAGCTTTTGGCTTTGCTGCTTCTCGACTTGCCACGCTTTGATGTGCTAGCACCTGAAATCTGCTTAGATTGATTAGAAGATGACTTTGCCATCGCGAGGAAAATGTGAAAGAGAATGATAAACGGCAAATGAGCAAACTAAAACACTGAGTCAGCAGTGGAACAATGAAAGCAATCTCATTCCTAAACTGGCCAATTGTTTAATACAACAAATGTGTGCGTGTAGAATTTAGAATATAGCCAGGGAAAAAAGTTAAAACACAAGTATTTTAGCGTCTAAACGACACATGATACACTTGATACCGATTCATCAGTACTGATGTTCAGTTGACGCGAAATCAATTTGCACAAATCAATCATTTGAATTTCCTTTTCCGAAAGTGAGCATTTGGTGCTTTTCTCTTTACCTTCCATTTCAGTGCCATCTGATCGTTCGTTAATCAACTCAATGTGCTTTAGTAGAGCAGGGTAAGCTGACAACTCCTCTTTCATTGTTTTTGTTGATTTAGCGAGACTCTTCAGGGCACAAAGAGCATACAACTTGGCAGCAGAATCGTGCTTGTTTTTCACCACAAGTGACACCAGAAAAGGCACAGTCCTCTTGATGATGGAGTCAATTTTGCAGATGGCATTGTCTCCGGTCAGCAGAGAGGGTAAAATAGCAATCAACAAGCAAACGTTGCGACTGTAGGCGTAAGATTTTGAGATGACACTCTCCGGAACGTCCTCCTTGTCCGTGTCCATGCATATGTCCTGCAAGTTCAAGTACGGTTGCAGTAGTTTCAGAATTAGCTGAACGGGCTGAGTGACGTGCGGATTAACTATGACTTTCTTGAAAAAGATTTCCATCCAGAGAGCCGAAACTTGAACCTGAAATGACATTTGTGTTTACACTAGTGCACTTAGTACAGAGTCCAATGACTTACCTTGCTCTCATCGATGATGCCCATTTGTTCAATCATCGCCTGCATTAAGCGAAGTTCGCTGTTCCATTGAAATTGGGCAACTTTCAGGAGCTTACTTCCCAGCTCACTTAGTTCATCATCAGA